AGATACTTAATTAGCTATCTTGGAGCCAATCTGAAGGATCCCAACCCTCATGCTGAGAAACACGGCTCTGAATCCACTTTTTCATGTTCCCTATCAGTGCTGCTGCTGGGTTGAGCTGAAATAATTAAACTGTGTGTGTGTGTGTTACAGGAGCGGTACGTTGCCAGTCTGATGCCTCTGCAGAAGTCCATCAGTCCCTGGAAGAATCCTCCTCAACTCCGACCGTTCATCCAGCAGGACTTCATGAAGACGCTGGAGAAAGCTGGACCTCAGCTCACGTCCAGACTGAAAGGAGACTGGATAGGACTGTATAGGTACACACACACACACACATCCTGGAGTTGGGCGAGCAGCTCGGAACACTGGGCACTCCGGGGATCAGCACGGGTGCGTTGTCGTTTTACGTCGATCAGATAGAATCTGACGGCTGCCGGTCCAACTGGCTTGAGCGAGCCTGAGGGGAGGGCAAGAGTAGAAGGAGGCCAAAGAGATCAAAGAGGAGACGGCGAGCTACTCTGTAGGATCTGAGCAGAGAGTCACAGAAGCACTCTTGAGGTGGAACTGTTGGATCTGGTTCTGAAGCCTGAAAGATAACTGGTCAGTACAACATGGCACATACTACACTACTAACTGATATTAACTGCTAATACAGACGTTTACTTGATCTGTAATACTACACTGCAATACCTGCAGAAACACAGCCTATATTACTGTCTACTGATACCAGAAATAATCACTCTTCTCCTTTTTGTTGGATAAAGTCACTTTAAAGATGAGAAACCATTTAAAATAAAAAGTGACAGAATTTTAACATGTTTTATGTATTGTCACATTGTAAATAAACAAGTCTATAAGATGCCGTGTGTTCTCTGCTTCGAGTCAGGCGGAGAACGGAGCAGCTCCCGTGCGTCGGGACTGTTGCCCAAACTGAGGCTCACATTGAGCCGTCATCCTGGCCTTACCAGAGACCTGCAGGGTATCCTCCACAACCCTCCCCCCTGACCTTTAACCCTAGTCTGCAACCCTGAAACCCAGTTTGAGCTTGTTTGGGGGGTAGCTAGTGTTTTCCCCCTCAGTGGCTCCCAAGTGGAGGGACCCAAGTTTACTCCAGACTGGGCTCCTAGTTTGAGGATCCTATATCGGTCTAACATGGAAACCACAACAGAGCTGTTTTTTTTCCCTAAATATACATCCCACTTTAGTTAATGTTTACTTTAACCCCCCCCCCCCCCTCCTCCCCAAACTGCTGATGTGGTCAGTGGACAACATGTTCGTGGTGTAAACAACCACCGGAACAGGGAGCTGCTGACATGAACTCCTCTGAAGGGTTTTCAGAGGGTTAAACAGCATTTAAAAGAACTGAGAAGAAATTATCAAGTAGAAAGGAGGCTTGATGCACTCTAGTTCATCACAGCCCAAACAAACGTTCACCTGAGCCTTTGGTGGCTGTGTGCAAAAGGATCCTCATCACATGGAGGTAAGAGCAGGAAGAATGAACCCAGCTACCTTTGACCTCAGCATTTTTACTCCTGTTTTTTCATTTTTAACCTTTTTAACTTGACGATGGACTCCGCAGTCGGCAAACTGACTTTGGAGTTTTTCATTCATATTTTTTTTTAAAGAAAGGCACATTCATCGCTATCTGGACCAGTGTGCCCTTCACA